TTATTGCATTTCAAATATTACTTCAGCAAGGTCAATTAGGTGGATTTCCAGTTCTTTTGAAAATTTAATAGGGTTTAGATTTGTTTTAAGGCTGTGCTATGGCTGAGTTAACAATAAATCAATAGCAGTTGTGGAGGTCCAGGCAGTTTTTCTTTTGGCTGATACACTGTAAAGGAAAAAATGTACTTATAAAATCAATCAGTTGTCCATGAGTACAAGATCACTTCATTCTTTTTTTTTTTTTATTGTCTTGTTTCAGATGATCGAAGTATCTAGTGGCCTGGACTTAATTATCTGAACTGTTTGTCTGTAAGACCTTATGAATCTTTCAAAACCTTCTGCAGACAGAAACCCATTTTGTTATTCTCAGTACTCCACAGAAAATTTTTTCATGCTTTTTATCTGCAATTTCTTCATGCTGTCTATATGATGTCACAGGTCAACTGAGCTGGATTGTTAACAAGACCATGTTCAATTCATGCATTTTTAAATAACAATGTGAAAATATATTGAACAATACACACTTTTATCAGTCATAAATCACAGTGTGCTTTTGACCCTTCTTACCTAAGAAATGTAACAGAGTGATTGGCCTTTGAAAAAGGTGCTAGTTGGGTCATTAGATGCAGTCTGAAAAGTAGATAAATAAAAATGGTAAAAACCCATCAGGCTTTAGAACACAGTGAGGCAGAATAAGGAGAAGCTGCTCTATTCTGCTGCTCTTTTGACATTGTGTGGAACTTACCACTGATTTGTAATGCTCCACTATTACCTCCTCAGAAGGCACTGCAAATACCAAGGAATTTCATCCTAAATATATTGTAGGAGAGAGGGGAGGAGAATAAGACATAAATCAGCTGTTGGAAGTTGCACAGAACCATGGCACAGCTGGGAACTAAATGTAAACCACCCGAGGTCCTGGTTATGTACTGGTAATGCATTCTACCTTCATTTTTCTCCTCTATTTTATTGTTAAGTGCCTTGCATTCCATTCCTGTCCTTGATATCAGTGGCATTTAGGAATGGGGACTGGTAGCCTGTCTTCAAGGCTGAGGAGTCAGTTCTTGATGGGGAATGTCAAGAAGATAAAGGCAGCTGTCACTTCTCTAAGGATGTGTGATGGTAGTGAATATCACTTGTATTTGTCAAAAGCATAAAGGGCATCTACAGTTGAGTCTGCTTCAGATGATACTTCTGTTGATGGTATAAAAGCTTCTCCTTGACGTAGGTTTTGGGCAGTTTCTTATCAATTTCTTAAAGAAAAGGCAATGTACAGGCCTACTTATTTCCTACATTATGATGCATTGAAATAATTGTGATAGTCCTTTTGTCTCCATATTTTCAGAACTCTGAATTCTTGTGTGTGAAAGCAATTTATGGAGCAAAGAAACCTCTGACTTGGACAATTTATTTGAAAAATATGCATGCTTTATGTATTTGAATATAAACATTGTGGTAGTCATACACTGTCAACACATGCTAACAGAAAATTAAAAAGGAAATAAAGCCAATTGGAGAGTTCAGTCTGGAGTAAGGAGCCCCGTGATCATATTTTCTGGAGCTCTGAGTTCGCCTCTACCTGCACATTCATTAGTTCGTGTGCCAAGAACTAAGGCTTAAATTTTTAATGTCTGATTTTCAGTACGTTAACTTCTAGGTGCCTGAAAGGCTAGATGTCAGACTTGTCCGAAAGACAGGAGGGGCTGGAAATGAAGAAAATTAATGCCTCTTGAAATCAGGTTATGTCATTCTAATAGGGCTGTTTTCATTTGGACATCTCTTGAGCAGCTGCATAGAAAAGCCACAGGAGCCCTGCCCCCTGGGAGATAAGGATACACAAGCCCTCTGACCAGCTCTCACTCCCTTGGCCAAACTGTGGAATACCTGACATGCTGAAATTGCTGAGGAAGCAGAACAGAGGAAAGGAAATTAATTGTCTGAGTCCCTTCTTCATGGGATTATTTTAAGGGAGAATCTTACACTTGTTCACATGGATTCAATTTGCATGAAGGAAAAATGGGCGTTTCATTAGGGCCTTTGCAGCCTGTCAGTGCTTAGCATTTGTTAGTTCAGAAGGGGCCAAGCAGGAACAAAAGGATCATAGATGCAGTGAAACCAAAGTGTCATAATATTTAGCACAAGCTTCCTGATGTAACCATTCCTGAAGTTTCACAGGGTGACTCCTGAATATATCAACTGAGTATGTTTTTAAATAATTAATATTTTTTCAGGTGGTTTCAACCATTAACATGAGCCTGCTTAGAGAAACAAGGAAATACTCCAGTAGGTTAAGGAATATGTCACCTAATGGAGTATAATCTGTGTGGGATTGTTAATTTATTAAAGGGAAAAGTCTGACCCTGTTGGTGGCTCTTGACTCGCTCTGTGCTTGTTATGAGGGGAAGGATGTTGATAGAGCCCGTGATAGTACATTGTTGAACATTCCACTGCATTTCTGCAATGCTAAAAATAGTTGTCCTCGTTTTAAAACACCAGACTATTAGATTATTCCAAGGGTTAGGCATACTCAGGGTAATGGAAGGTGCATACCCATAAATTATCAGAAGAGTGAGTACCACTTAACCATCCTGATTTTACTTCTATTAAGATTATTTCCTTGTTGGTAATTCTGAGGTAGCAAATTTATTCTGTAAATCAAGCTCCTTAAAGTGCCCCAGTAATTGTAAAAGAAAAACTGCTTGTTCCTCCTGCTGAAGAAATATCTGCCTGTTGGCTTTTTTATTTTATTTTTGTAAAACCCTGTATGTAAAATATGTATCTGAAATATTTTAAAGTTATTCTCTTCTGCAGCCACGAGGAGAATCTCACAAAGTTCTGATGTATTTGACTATAAACTGTGCTAATGCCTAAAAAGTTTTAAATAGCAAAGCACGTTCTGAGTCACTGATTCCTTTTTTATTCTTTGTTAATGTGGTACCTAATTCATATTGGCATAGTGTTGCATAGTGTAGATACCTGAGCTGTATGAAGTATATTCGTTACTTGCATTTTGGATTAGGATCTCATTTTTCTTGTTATTTATTTATTTGAAAGTCCTTTTCTTTTTTTCTTTTTTCTTTTTTTTTCTTAATAGGGAAAAATAGCAAAATATGGAAGTCAAAGTATAAAAATTCTCATAAAAAAAGTGTGCATTCTGGGATAGTTGCTAAGCAGATAGCTATTGGGAGCTCATTGTATCCTGAAAACTTTCAATTAGAAACTGTATCCTTGGTTTTATAGAGAGTTGAAATGCAGGTAAAAACTTCAGGATCAATAAATCATAAATACATCGAGAACCCTGATTATATGTACACTGAATGTTTCCAAAGCAGTTACAACATCAATCATTTCAGATTTAATGAAAATCAGTATTGATGCTGTGGGAGAGTATTTGTGCATTGTTGTGTTAAAGGAGTCATAATTTGTAGAGTGCTGATTAAACAGTGCAAGACAAAACATCTATGCCTTGTGTTCATAGAAAACAAGCAAGAAAAAAAGATGTGAATATGCAATTTTTCATCTATTTTATAGTGATTCCATGTAATAATGAAGATTAAATATTGTCTGGTAACTGTTCGACTGCAAGGAATGCTTTTGAAATCACATATTCATATTGTGAATTTGGAGAAAATGAAGGAATAAGGATTACTTATGAATATTAATTAGAATTTTTCCCCCTTGTGACAGCACTTATTTTTACAGAAGGGAAATTTAAGAAAAACGTTAGATATTGTGCCATGGGTGGAATTATAAAAATGTCATTTTTGACAATCTGTTTTAAGCTGTATTTTAATTGTTACATGTTATGGGTGCTTTGTACTTATTTGCTTCGTTACTTGCATCATTTTGATGAGTAATTGTTCTTTTATTGGCTCTTTGTGTTGTTCAGAGAGACTGGAGCTTTTCCTTTGTCTCTTTTCTTGTTTGTGTCTGTGAGGCATTTATCTTCCACTTGGCTTGGAATCAAACAAGTGAACTTTCAGAACTTTTTGTTGCTGAGCTCTGGCTTGGCTAAAAAACTATTTGGGTGGTATATAAGTTACTCAGGGAAACTTCTGTCAAGAAACTAAGGCCCATGAATGGAATGCAGATAGCATTTGATTTTAGATTCCTTTAATAAGTCTTCTAAGCTCCCACTTGAATTCATAGGAGTGTGGATGAATTTATCTAACAGAACTTAGCTTAACAACTTCAGATTTACTGAGACCAATGTACTTCCCTGTGGCATTTTCATGGTTCTGTAAATGGAGATTAGTTCTTAGCTTTCAGCGGTGTAGCCTGGCTCCCACTAGCTCTGTAACTGTCTAACAAGCTTTGCTAAGAAGGAATGGAGAAGGAAATGGTTGAACCAATTTCAATTCTAATTCTAAATGTGATATTTCTAGGTTTTTGACTGTACTTGTTACTTGTTTCTGTTTGGATTTTCTTGTTCTGCTTGTTTACTTTGTTTTTTTTTTCGGCTAAAGTAGTTTTAATTCAGATGCTGAGGATGGCATTGAGCAGGGACAGTTGCCTTTTAAAAGCATTTCTGATGAACTTGTTTCTATCTGTGCTCAGTTGCAACGCAACTCCTAAGCATCCAGTTTCTTGAACAGAATTTAAAAATCCTAATCAAATTCTTAGTATTCATGAGAAGTGCATGAGGAAAGTTATTTGAGGAGGAAGAGTTTTACAACTGTAGCAGCTGTACGGGAGAGTTGCCGTGCTTTTGCAAAACGTGAGATAGGAGAGGTAGTAATTTAACAACATAATCTTTTCACTGTCAAAACATTCATAACACCAGCGATTGTTAACTGTCTGATATTTTGGAAACGAAATGTGTTATAAGCAAAAGCAAGACAGATATAGATGGTTCTAGAAATCAATTAAATGCTTCTGAAAAAAAGAGTGAGTAGCAGTGCATCTCTAAACGTTCTGGTGGTTTGTTATTTCCTCTCTAGATTTAGCTTAGTCATGACCTAGAACTGAAAAAAATGATGGTTATGTACATTTTATTTCAGGGGGACACTGGCTTAGTGGGTGCTCCTGGCATACCTGGTCTTACTGGTTCCAAGGTAAAAAAAAAAAAAAAAAAAAAAATAATAATAATAATAATAAAATTGTATATATATTTCACTTTTTGCCAGCTCTCCAGTATTTACCTACGTTGTATTTGAATGTTTTGAACTTGTAGAGCACAACAAAGGATCTTCACTATCAGCTCACAAGAGAAAGGACATGAGGTGCAGTGGCACAGATGTGCCTGCCGGTGTTACTTTGCATTAAGAGCAGTTGCCTCTGTCTCAGTACTGTGCAGGGTCTTTGCAGCCACCAGATATACAGATTCAAGAATCTGATATTTGAGCCTTATGATCTCAGCAAAATGAAATGAGGGAAGTGCTGCTTCTTGCACTCTTCCATTTTTATCTTTTACTCCTCCTCAGAGGTGGAATACTGTAGGAATGATAGAACTTGCAAAAAGATGCTTGTGCATTACAGACTTTACTGATAATATTTGTTAAAGATGCCCAACACTTACCATGATCTGATTTTCTTTTCACTAAGTAGGAGCTATGTTTAATCATAAGTGTTTGGAATGGAATCCCAATGTCATGTGTTTCTATCTGACTAATTCCTATTAGAAAATCATATGTAAAATGGCTTTGCTGCTTCGAAAAATTAAGGGACTAATGAAAAAAAAAACATGATTATATTAGAATTTCAAGTGTTGATAAGCATGACCATCATGCAAAGGGATGATTCGCATATCTTTAGGGCAGATATTTCCTGCAATATGGCAATAAGCAAAGGAACATATTCTCTGCAGATGAGGTAGCTAGCATTGAGTTTCACAACAGACTTACCACTATCAATTTATGCATTCGAAGCCAGGATCTTATTGACTTACAGTGTATTTAAATAGTGATAAAAATTGTATTATGAGTCCCATATTGAGTATGAAGAGGAAAACAGTGACTGTCTGTTAAAAACATCATGTGAAGTATTTAGCTTACCACATAAGAATTCGTCCACAAAAAGGAGAATTCAAGTCAGTCTTAAAGGTGTTATTTTGCAACATTAGTGTTTTGTTTTGAAGCATCTTATCCTTGGCTAGTACAGACTAATATCTTAATGCTCTCTCTGTGTTTTCTGTTGCTACATTTCTTATTTTTTTTCTAATTGAATGTGGCAATGAAAGTGAATATAAGCAAATAATCTGCTATTGTGAATAAAGTAAACCATGCATTTGACTACACAAGGAGAACATTATGCTTGGTATTGGTGATCTGAAATGTTGTTGTGTTTTGGGCCTCTTCCACGCTTCTTGAGAGTTGTGAAAAAACTGTAGGAGGTTCAGCAGGGACTGTGGAAAACATGGCCTGTGAGGTGAGAATCACAGAACTAAGTTTGTTAAGTCTGTCAAAGAGACACATTAGGGACTGTCTTGCAGTTTTAAGGAGCCAGGAGAGCTGATTAATCTTCAAGAGCAGCTTTGTAAAAGTTGAAGATCGGTCTGCTGTGGTATGCCAGCAAATGTGCATGTGTGGAAGTGGAAGCAGAGTTGAGCTACCCAGTATGAATATGGAAACATTGAAAGAAACAAATAGAAAGAAGGGGACATACTCTTTAGTAGGATCTATTGTGATAGAGATGGTTTCAAACTAAAAGAGGGGAGATTTAGATTGGCTATAAGAACAACGTTTTTTTTATGGCAAGGGTCATGAAGCACTTGAGCAGGTTGCCTGGAGCGATGGTGGATGACCTGTGCTTGGAGACACTCAAGGTCAGGCTGGACCACACTCTGATTAACCTGATCTGTCTGTAGATGTCCCTGTTCACTGCAGGGGAGCTGGAATAGATGACCTTTACAGGTTCCTTCCAACTCAATAATACAATTCTATGAAAAGATTATCTGATAGTCCTGCTATTTGACAATGTAGTGAAAAAGGCCAACTGTGTGTGGGTTGCTTTAGCAAGATTATGGCTAGCAGGTCAGGGGAAATGATTATTTTGCACTTTTGTGACTGCATCTGTGTCCAGCTTGAGGCTACTGGGAGAAGGAGAGAGCAGTTGACTGAGGTGACCCCAGTGGGGGATCACAAGGATGGCCAGGAACCTACAGACCACGGTATATGAAGAGAGGCTGAGGAAGCTGAGTCTGTTCAGCTGTAAGATTACATAGTTTGGAAGGTGGCTGGGAGTAGGCTTCTACTGCTCTTTGCAAGTAATGAGAGGGTGCAAGTATCCTGAGTGAAACTTATCAGAGGTGGACTGTGAAAGGACAAGGCCATGGATACAAGCTCCAACCAAACAAATTTTGTAAGGCTGATTTTTATATGATGGATTGTGAATTGAATAAAGACAGAATTTGTGATCTTATAAATGTGAAAGCTAAATGAAAATTCTCTGTTCCTGTTTGTTGAAAGTAAGTAGAAATTAGCTATGTTTAGAGGAATGGGAAGCAGAGTAGAGTTTGCATACATTCAGAAATTTATTTCAGCAATTAACCACACATTTTTAGGTAAGAGCATCTGGAAGGTTACTTTACGAGATCAGATTTTGCATGCTTTGTCTTGGTCATGCTTCTGAAACTGACCCCAAAAGTGATGAATGTCTCAGTAACTCCAGCTGGGAAAAAAAAAAAAAAAAAAAAAGTAAAAGTAAAAGTAAAAAAAAAAAAAGTAGGGAAGAGCTACTGCAGGCACCTCCTGCAAGTCCAAAGCTGTTTGATAATCCATACATCTGCATGTCTCCTAAATTTCAAATTTAATTCCCAGATACGTACCAGACAATACTGTATTGATTAAACAATTTGGCAAATTGTTGCTAGAAAGTTTGCAAGTTGTAGCCTGCTGTTTTAGTTGACCTCATTTAAACCTCAGACTTCTATATATGGAAATGAAAATCTCTGAAGGGTGAAGGAATGTTTAGACATTACTCAATTTAATTTTTTAAAGTAATTTAGAAAAAAGCCATATGCTGTACTTCAGAAATTATCCAGTCTCCTCATTTTCAGTCTGTAGAACTCATGTGCATTGTACTGAGCCAGTGACACTGGTGAAGGCATGCAAAGTGTCCTTTGCCAGGTGATTTAAGGGAGAAAGAGTATAGGTGTGGAGTTTGTTTTGTGGTGGTGTTGGGGTTTGTTTGGTTGCTTTTTTTTTTGCTTTGTTTTGGTTGTTGTTTAAATTATGTAAGTTTTGTACTACAGGTATATAATTTTGATTGTATTTCTGTTGTATGTCTTAAAAAATGGACAAAAATATGTTAATAAAGATCTGAAAAAAACAGATACTGTTCTTGTAATGCATCCAAGCCTCAAACCATTTGACAGAGACATTAGCATAGTAAGATTGCTGCATTAGCATCTTTTTCTGAGGTAAAAGTTATCAAATTGGAGCATTATAATAGGTCTTTCTATTGTAAGATCATTTAATAAAGAATTCATTCTGCTGCAAGAAGCTGAATTTGAGTTAGCATTGCAAATTGCACTCCTATTATTTTATAGTGTTTCAATTAATTGGAAATTACCAAGTAGAAGGGATGGGTTTTCTTTCAATAAGTTGTATTTGGATCTTTTGCTCAATTGGGGTGGGTTTTTGAGGCCTTCACGGCTGACTAGGCATATTTAAAAATTAACATGAACGAATTGATAGGAATAAATATATTAAAGCTGATTCTGCAGAATACCAAGACTGTAACAAATGGGTTTATAATCGACAGTTTAGAATTCTTAAAGCTAGGAATATCCATTTAGTTGAATGAAAGAATGATTGGTTATCAAAAAGCCATGGCAACTTTTGTGGAGGTTTTATACATTTTTGAATGCAAGATTATCGTTACCCATATAGTTTCTTGTGTTTTGTTCCCATAACAAAAAGTCAATGTAATACAAATAATTTTAAGAAATGCAATACTTAGAAGAACGTTTGAGATATTATTTGTATTGTTTTGTGTTCCAGGGTGAACATGGCCTTCCTGGTAGTAAAGGTGAAGAAGGTGAAAAGGTAAGTTGTTCTGACCATGTTTCTTATTTTTCTGTTTTAATGTTCTGGTATATGACAAACTAAGTGGAGCCTCATTCAGAAGGCATTCCTTAACTCTTTCACAAATAAAACTCCTTTTTTTTTTTTTTTTGTGTCAGTGATTTCTGAAAGGCTTAATAAATAAGCAGTTATTTAATATTAATTACTGTCATCAGCACATCCTTCGGAATCGTGTTTTTTAAGAAAATATCCAATAATGAAGTCTTACAGAACCATAACCACTGGACTCCAGTGGTGTCTACTGCTACTAAATTTCTATGGTAACTAGTAAATGTTTATTTATACTGTATGGAATGCATGATGAGATGATGTAGGTATTTATAGTACTTGGTTGTTGCCTTTATAAATTACAAATGCACTTTATAAAGAACGTACTGAAATATGTTGAATGTAATTACCAAATGTTTTACATTCTTTTCCTCCTAAAAACATAAATTCATTACCATTGAAAATTTTTCCATTTCTTGTAGCATGATAACTGACAGCTAGCTTAAAAAGGTTAGTTTTTATTGATATGCTTCTGCATACCGATGCAGTAGTTAACCTGATTTTAGTCTACTGAACATATCTGACTTCAGCCAGAATGACATGATTGCTTGGCCTCACAGGATGCAGGTGCATGTACCTCTTCCTTACTCTGCCAGTTCTGTTCCCTTCACTGATGGATTGACAGATTGTTTTAAGGACCTTATTTTCCTAGCTGGAGTAAAATTCCAAGTGCAAATTATAAGAGAAACCTTTCCCTGTTTTTCAGCAGTGTGTATCAGAAATGGAGCCTGGAACTGTTTGTTGTAATTACAGATGCTCTGCTTTGGTCAGAAATAGTTGAAAAAACATGAGTGTTAAAATATGAATTAGACTGGCCCTTTGGAAGGCTGTCTTAGGTGACAGAATGCTGGTCTGGGTTGCTCTAGATGGCTCAAGACAATATTCCTGCATGACTTCAGATGCATAACAAATCATCAAAGACAAGTCTGTGTTGAGGGACAAGTGGATGGGTCTGGTCTAACTTAGCTTGAGTGATAGGAATTGAGCTAAGAATAATAGTTTGTAGTTGAGCTTCATCTCCTTAACCAAATTTTACTTGGTTACTGATTTATTAGTAGTGTTTTGGCTGATTTGGTTTAGGCAATGTGATTTAAGAATGCATCTTTTCTCTGTGCCTCAGCTCACTGTCTGAAGAAGATGCAGAAAATCATTTCCACTCAATGTGTGTTATATATTCAGATGTTTATATGTTCTTCAAGATGAGGGATGAAAGATGCTGAGATTCTGGCAATATTCAGAGTGAAGAAAATGGCGAGTGGGTGAATTAAAGAAAACACAGCGTATTCCTGCTTTGTACATGGGTAGATATACCTCCCCCCCACCCCCCGCTGTACCCATGGAAGTGTCAGCCAGCTTTCAATGTTGATATTTTAAAGAAAATGTGTTGTTATGGTTTAACTTAGCAGATTTAAAGTTACAGAAGTTTTTTTTAGGAGGAAGCATTCTAGTAACCAGGAAGGAAGAAATATCAGAAGTAAAAGTCAGCATCCATAGCAACTAACGTTTATCATGTGAAGATTCAGTCTAAAAAAAGCACTTGTTAAGGTTGAGTGTTTCTAGCTTCATAGACAGATCTTATTTCCTCCACGGCATCGTTATTCATCAGTTCTGTAGGACTTGTTGATTTTTTTTTTTACTCATAATTGCTCTGCAGCTGTGCCGTGCTTTCCTTGAGCTATATGAATAAATTGTGTTTGGACACAGGCACATGGATCCAGCTGTTGCTGCCACTCTCTCTGCTTGATTTCCCTAACACTAAGGCAGAGATAAAATGACCAAATGACTGACAGCAACGTTTTTCATATGTGGGAGCTGAGTCAGCACATTTTAGACTTTTGTCCTCTTCGAATTCAGAATCTAATTAAAAGATTCCATTTAAATGTATTTCCAGTTTAATAATACATTCAGCTGTTCTTCAAAGAAAAGGAAATATACAAGCAGAAGAATCCTTCACCAAAACTTATCTGAGACGGTCTCATCAGAAGCTTTATATCCTGATATGTGAGGAGGGAGTGTCTTTTAAGGTTACACAAAATAGCTCTCAGTTTGGGCTGTAAGTTATTCACTTTGGCCATAGTTTAAATAATTTTGCATATTCCAGTTGTTAAATTCTGGTATAAAAAATGTATCAGTGCTCTTGTGTCGTGACACACTGTCCCGAATAAAATGTCTGTGCTACTTTGTGAGTAACAAACATGGTTAAAAAGACTGGAACTTAAAATTTGATTTTTACTAATGAAGAAAGCTCAGTCAGATCTTGCACATCAAAGAACAGGACAGTGTTTGTTGTTTTGCGCTGTACCTTGAGTGGGTTACAGCTACTTGAACATTAGGTGTTTGCAATTTCTAACTCACTGCAGGTAGAGCTGGTGCAGAACTGGTGGGAGAACACTTCGAGGAGAGGCAGCTACCAACAGCAATTCAGAAACCTAAAGTAGCACTGAATGCTTTTTGAAGGAGGTTGGTTAAGGGACATTCCTTCAATTGAGCCCATTCACCACATCAAACCAGTTGACTTTGGTCTTGATTGTATTTTCTGTTTTGTCTGAGGAAGCTTTGGGGATGTTGTGGGCAACTGAGGCGAAAGTGGTTGTATGTAAATCAAAGATACAGGAGGCATCTTTAATTCAATATGCTAAGGGTGATTCCTTCAGGCTATTAAAAGGTTTCTTTGCCACACGTGGGTCTCCTTCAGGAATCTGGAATTCTTGTCTTCGTTTTGTTTGGAGGTTTTTTTGGTTTTGTTTTTTTCCATTTCAGATTGAACCAGTACTGGCATGTACAGGTGTTAATGCTGCGTGCTTTCCTGCCACAGGAAATCATATACTCAGTGTAAATTTGTTTTAATCCTCCTTTATATTCTATTTGCTTTGTGTTAGGCAGCCAATGTCATAGTCTCACAAGATAGTGTTACAACTGGCAACAAAAGCATTGGTCTATTCTTCTATAGCATGACTGAAATCATATACACTGAGAGCAGTTTTAATTGATTTGCTGACAGGAAGGAAGATTATACTGAGTGAATCTGTCCTCCTTCCAATAATATTCAGAACTGTAATTGTATGATATGAACTGTTAGTGGCTGGAAAACAGCCTTAAAACCCAGAATGTTTTTGACACATCAAAGATATAGCCTAGCAGATTAGCATCTAAGAAAAAGGTCTAAGTGCAAAGATCTATTTGTAGGGGAGAATAAATATGGTTTGAGGGGAAAAAAGTAGCATCCACTTGCAAATTACAGTCTGTGGATTATTTGGATGCGAAACTGGTGACTCGTGGAATCCTTATAGTTGGAAGGACCTTTAAAGGTTGTCTAGTCCAACTCCCCTGCAGCGAACAGGGACACCGCAGCCGGATCAGGTTGCCCAGAGCCTGATCCAGCCTTACTGTGAAAGTCTCCAGGGATGAGGCATCCACCACATCTCTGGACAACCTGTTCCAGTGCCTCACCACCCTCACTGTAAAAGACTTTTTCCTTACATCCAACCTATCCTCTAAATCTATCCTCTTTAAGCTTGAAACCACTTCCCCTTGTTCTGTCACCATAGGCTCTGCTAAAGAGTCTGTCCCCTTCTTTCCTGTAGCTCCCATTTTAGATACTGATCAGGTCACCCCATCTCTTCTCTAGGTTGAACAGCCCCAGCTTTCTCAGCATGTCCTAGTAGGAGAGATGTTTCATCTCTCAAATAATTTCTGTTCTCCTCTAGATGTGCTCCACGAGGTCCATGTCTCTCCTGTACTGAGGAGTCCACATCAGATTGTAGTATTCCAGGTGAAGGCTCACCAGACAGAGCAGAGGGGCAGGATCACCTCCCTTGACCTGCTGGCCACACTTCTTGTGGTACAGCCCAGGATACAGATGGCTTTCTTGGCTGTGAGGGAGTGAAGTCAGGCAGTTGCGAATGAAAAAAACTAAGATGTTTGAAAGCACTGTCTGCAATACTAATGAAGTAGTTCTGTGCTACATAGTATTGGTAAGGCATCAGTGTAAAGGCTGTTGAAAGGAAATCACCAAGAATAACTAGTCAGTATAACACATAGTCCTGGAGAAAGATTAGTTAGCATAGAGTCAGCTGAAGAGAAATATGTGAACTGTCTTCAAATACATAAAACTACTGCAAAGAGGAAGGGAATGGCATATTTCCTATTCCTGACACAGGTAACATGCAGAGTAACAGGCTGGAGTGCAGCAAGGAAGATAGTAGGTAGCCAGTAGGAAAGAATTCTTAGTTTCCAAATTGATTTCTTACAGAAGTGATTTCCTCTTATATTGTTTTGCACTTTTAACTTTAGTTCTAGAAAAAGGAATGATAAATAGAAAGACTTATTTATTACAGGAGATCAGATTGTCTCATAAGATTTATTTTCTGCTAATAGTACCAAAACTACTCAGTATATTATTTACACTGATTTCTAATTAGATCAGCACAGAGAGCAGCTAGGTGGTTTGTTTTTTTCATTATATATACTTGCTTGGTTTTAATGCTTAGCTAATGCTTTTCCATGATAGGACAGTAAAACTCTGGAGCAGGTTACCCACAGTCATTGTACAGCCTCTGATTCTGGAGGTTTGAAGACCAGCTTGCAGGGGCCTGGTCTAACTTCACACCTGGCTCTGCTCTGAACAAGAATATGGACCAGGTGTCTCCTGAGGTCACTTCAGCCTCAGTTATCTGGTGATTTTATGAGAGTGCCCAGGAACATGATATTTTTCTGAACTGTGACGTGTATTCACAATATAAAGCTATGCGCAAAAAAAAAGTGTCAGTGATAATTTTTAAAAATATTGGGGGGTGGATTGTGAATATTTATTTAATTCAGACAGTGGATTGGGAAAAAAAGCTGTCAAATGACTCAGTGATTTTTATGCACATGCTTTACAATTTTAGGTGAGAACTGGACATTTTCACTAG